GTTTTTTTTTTTTTTGGGGGGGGGGGGGGGGGGGAGGGGGGAGGAGGGGAAGAAAGAAAAGATTATAATTAGCATGGCCTCTGCGAAATTAAGGATGACAAGCACAGATGCCGAAATCGTCCAACAAAAAAGAAAGAGAGAGCGAGAGAGAGAGAGAGAGAGAGGAAAAAACTGAAAGGATTCAGTGAAAATAACAAAGCAGACAGATAAGGACGACGGCTCATGCGCATTCTCATGGTTTCTCTCTTTTCTTTCTCTTTTTTTTTTCTCCTCTTCCTTTTTTTAATTTTTTTTTTTCCTTTTTAACAGCACGAATGGAATTCTTTCGTCACGCATAATTCCATCACACTTTTTACAACTCGTGTAGTGAAGTCGGTGTATACTCGAGGCAAAAAAAAAAGTCGGTGTATATGCCACAGAACGAGCCAAGCACAGACACAGACAGCGAGAGAGACATTCACAGAGAGAGAGAAACTTAGAGATATCCAGAGACAGAGAGAGAGAAAGGGAGAAATACAAACAGAGAATACAAAGACATAAATACAGGGAGAGAGAGAGAGAGGGAGAAATACAGCGAGAGGAAGAAATACAGAGAGAGGGAGAAATATGAGGGGGAGAGAGAGAAAGAGAGAAAATTCGGGCATAATGAAAGGAAAGAGAGAAAGAGAGAGAAATGCGGCGAGAGAGAGGGAGAAATACAAAGAGAATACAAAGAAGTACAGGGAGAGAGAGAGAGGGAGAAATACAGCGAGAGAGGGAGAAATACAGCGAGAGAGGAAGAAATACAGAGAGAGGGAGAAATATGAGGGGGAGAGAGAGAAAGAGAGAGAAGATTCAGGCATAATGAAGGGAAAGAGAGAAAGAGAGAAAGAGGGTAAAATACAGACAGGGAGAGGGAGACAGAGGAGACAAAAGGTGAAATACAAAGAGAGAAACTACAGAGAGATACAGGAACAAATACAAAGAGAAGAGAGGGACAAATACAGAGAGAGAGAGAGAGAGTGCTCCCTTCAATCCTTTCTCTCTCTCCAGAGATGAGAGGGATAAATACAAACAGACACAATGAAGGGATTCAGACATAATCAATGATTGAAATACACGGGAACAAACAGACAAGGCCCTCCCTCCTGTTGATGTCCGGATCCCGATCCTTACTTTCTCATGCCCTCGGGCACGACGAAGCGTTCATATCTATCTGGGGCATTCATTGTTGCAGACTAATTAACCAGAAGACGACAACCGAATTTCAACCGAGCTTCTTCCCTCGATTCTCGAACGATGAACGAGCTCAGCCGGTGAAATAAAAGGTAATTAGGTGTATGATTGATGAGCACCGCTGGCTGCGACCGCCTTCTTCTGTCTACCAACTTCTGCTTCTGAGTCAGCCAACAATCAATCAATCAAACAATCAACCAATCAATCAATCAATCAATCAAGCGATCAATCAATCAAGCAAGCAAGCAATCAGCCGGTGCAAGAAACGGTAATTAGGTGTATGATTGATAAGGACCACTTGCTGCGATCGCCCTCTGTTTACCAACTCCTGCTGCTGAGTCAGCCAACAATCAATCAATCAAACAAACAATCAAGCAATCAAGCAATCAATCAATCAATCGGCTGGTGCAACAGAAGGTAATTAGGTGCATGATTGATGAACACCACTGGCTGCGATCGCCCTCTGTTTACCAACTCCTGCTGCTGAGTCAGCCAACAATCAATCAATCAATCAATCAATCAAACAATCAACCAACAACCAATCAATAAACTCAGCAAGCAACCAATCAACCAATCAATCAATCAACGGATGGGTTTTCGATCTTTCGGGGGTCCAAGTTGCCCTGCCCCACGTAGATCTGGCTGAGCGGGCATTGCGCGCACATCAAGCGTCTCCTCTCATAGGCACACTTTTTTTTTTTTTTTTTTTGGGTATAGGCACACTTGCAAAACGAAACCGAACAGAGCATGAGCTATAAAGATAAATAGATAGATAGAGAGGAAACGCAAAGGCATGAGCTATAAAGATAGAGAGAGAGAGAGGAAACGCAAAAGCATGAGATATAAAGATAGGTAACGAAAAAACGAATCACAATTTAGTCCGATCTTTGCCAATCGAGACGGCAGGAGGACCGACAGGGTGGTATACGGACTAAGACAGCTTTGACAGGGTAAGGCAGTACTCACACTAGCACGATCGTACATGTATCTGACCAGATTTACAGCCAGACGTGGACGTATCTGGCCGCAATTACGTCCAAAAACAAGTAAAAAAAGCCCTAGTGTGAGTATGCCCTAAATCATTCATCCAGGGAATTCTCCATCCATCTGGTAGTAGTGCCCACGACGACAGTAGTTGACCGCACCCACAGAGAGAGAGAGAGAGAGAGAGGAGGAGGAGGTAGGTAGTGGGTAACAAGAAGAACAAGAGGAAATCGTGAAAAAAAAAGTGTCCACAGACTGCTTCTCCTACACCCATCCATAGAAAATCATTACTTTCGGTCATTATAGCTGTATTTAGACTGAAAGATACCATTATTATAGCTGTATTTAGACTGAAAGATACCATTATTATAGCTGTATTTAGAGTGAAAGATATCATTATAGCTGTATTTAGACTGAAAGATACCCAAAGTACAGCTACATCTTTCCTCTGCTTCATGTACAGTTTTCCAAGTAGAGGACGAACAAGAAGAAACGAGAAGAACAGGAAGAACCGAAAGAACTGACGAACTGACGGACGCACAAAGGGCATATACTCACACTAGCAGTTCTTTCCTTGTTTCTGAACGGAAGTGCGGCCAGATGCATACGAGTCCGGCCCTAATTGCGGTCAGGTGCATTTAGGATAGTGGTAGTGCGAGTACGCCCAAAGACGGGCGGAAAACAGCGTCGGTCACATCGCATAGAGCAGAGGCATTGTTGAAGAAGGGGAAGGAGGGAAGAGGCGGGGAAGAAGATAAGAAACCCACAGAGCGTTAGAGAGCAGAGACAGACCCCACAAGAAGAAAGGGGCATGACCCAAGAGCCTAGCTCAGTGGGGACCACACCCATGAACTGTTGAAATACAGACCAGGTGCTGTGTTCGAATCCAGATGATGATGGAACTCGATTGACGAGTGAAACCAAATACTACAGTAGTATTTCTGAATTGCCTGGGGCCTGTCTGCTCAATGATGATATTTCAAGACCGTCGCCCTTTTAAAAAAAAAAAAAAAAAAAAAAAAGAATAGAAAAAAAAAGAAAAGAAAAAAAAGGGCATGCCGAGGAACCTGCCGGCGGCCACCGGGGAGTTGAATCACAAAACGGCGATCGAAAGAAATGATACTAGTAAAAGAAAAGGGGGAGTGAGATACCCACAGGGAGTGTGGCAAGGAGGCTGGGAGGAGACAGGGGGCCAAGCGCCACTAGCAGGGATTTAGTTAAGTTTGCTCAACGCTTGCATCTGGACATGTTTGTGGAGAAGTGCACAAAATCGCGTTGAGTTTTCTCAACTGCTATTCTCCGCAAACACGTCCAGATTCAGGCGTTGAGCAAACTCAACGCTGCTAGTGGGACTTGCCCCCCGGGTGGGACGGAGAAAGGGCCTCGCCACGCCACTCTCGAAATGTGTGAAAAAGACAAAAAAACGTGGCGGGTGAATCTGGCCATGTTCTAGCGGGAAGTTCGTTCTCATTTTGCACATTTGGAGAGTGATGTGGCCATACCCAAACTCTGACGGTGCGTGAAGAAGGCTACCCAGGTGAATCTGGCCATGTTCTAGCGGGAAGTTCGTTCTCATTTCGCACATCTGGAGAGTGATGTGGCGATGCCCAAACTCTGACGGTGCGTGAAGAAGGCTACCCGGGTGCATCTGGCCATGTTCTAGCGGGAAGTTCGTTCTCATTTTGCACATCTGGAAGAAGAAAATTTGAAAATTTGAATTCAAACAGCGAGGCCAATCGATATACGTGCTTGTCTCAATGATGAATGCATATATATTGATTGGTTCTGTTTAGAACCAATCAATATATATGCTTTTTTAGAATAGCTTGATGATGAGCAGTATCGCACCTACACGCACGGACAATCAAGTTGAATCTAAATTTCAATCAAGTTGAATTTAAATTCGAATGGAGAATAAAAAATAAAAATAAATAAAAATAATCGAATGGAGAATAGAGTAGCGACAGGATGTGATAAGATGTGATAGATGAGATAGATGAGATAGATGCGGAATAATATAGATAGACAGATGGAGAGAGGAATATTAGATTAGATTAGTTAAAAAAATAAAAAAAAAATAAAAAAGGAAATTTGAATGCAGCGAGGCCAATCGCCGCGTGTGTGCGCATCAGAACCTCAGCAGAGATTCGTAGACGGACAGACATGGGGCCTCGCTACACTACTCTTGACATGCGCAAAAGACAAAAATCATGGCCGTGTATCTTTCCATATTCTAGCGGAAGATTCACTCTCGTTTTGCACATTTCGAGAGTAGTGCAGCGAGGACCATGGTAATTGCCCAAAACGCGGCGAGCAGAACTTCAGCACGAGCACTTATCATTCATGTCATGGGACTACCTCTCTCCCGCGTCCGCTGAAGCTTTCCGCCCAAGACAACGACAGGCGGAAAACAGCGTCACAACGCATTGCCTAGAGGGGTTGAAATACAGTAAGAAGAAGAAAATCAGTTAGTTAGAAGGGAGGCAAGGAAGAAAAGGGGTGCATAGACAACCTGAGAGAGAAGGCCGGGGGGGGAAGGCGGGAACGAAAAAGCAGCAGCGGGAGGACGGGGGGAGGGCGGGCCGGCGGGAGAGAGAGAGAGAGGAGGCAAGAAAGAAGGGGCTGCAGAGACGACCAGAAAGAGAAGGCCGGGAGACAAGGG